CGTACATGATACTTTACTTCTTGTTGACAGCATATCCCAGTCACATCTATCCAAAATAAAGTTTCCATCTTTCAACAAAACAACAAAAAGACCATAAAAGTTGAGTTCAATGTTCATAATTGAAAGAGGTTATTTACCGACAACGAAAAAATATAATAAACATTACATGTAGTCTGTAACAAAAAACTGTTCCTTAGGTGTCGTCTTCACTCTCTGGCTCGTCCCCATGCCAAATATAGAAAGTCTGCCCAAAGAATCTACAGCAGCAACTACAGTTCCGTCAGGTGATATAGAAAAATCAAACAAAGGAACACTTCCATTAACCTCCTCTTGATTTTGATACCTTTTGACTAACGCTCCGTCGTTAACATTCCAAATCTACAACGTTATAACGAAACAGTTATAAAGAAAAAGCGCTAGAAAAATCAAAAAAAAAAAAAAAAAAAAAAAGTGCTTTCCTCAAATGCCTTTAAAAAAATAAAACACTGCAGGTTTGAAGGATGAAAATTCTTAACAGTTTCAAACTATAATCTAAAAGTGACAATGAAATGAAAACTTAGGCACTCAGCTAACCAAAAGAAAGGAAAAAAGCACACCATGAACAGCCCATCATGTCCCGCACTAAAGACATACTCGCGATACAAGGGATGAGCAATTAAGACATATGTGTCCTCTTTGTGACCCTCTAATTGCCTGACCAATCTACCATTTGAGGGATCCCATACAACCAAAGCATGGTCCGACCCAGAAGTTACCACAAAGTCATCTTCAAGTGTCCAACAAACCATAGTGACTTTATAGGCACGACGAGAGGGTGCAGACAATTTTTCGTCCCTAAAATTCGAAAAATCTAATGAGAAAGCAGAAAAATAAAAAAGTGACTCTGAAAAAATACTTAGCTGCTTATGAACAAAAAAATATTAAGAAGATTCAAAAGTATCAAAAAAACCCACCTTTTTTTTGTATCTAACGAAACACTCTCCCAATCATTGTAACGAAAATTCCAAACTTTCGCAACACCATCTTTGCTACCACTGACAAACCTCAAGCCAGAATGTGCCCAAGCTAAACTATCAACACGATCCTAAATAAAAATGATATATCACAGCTACAGACCTCATCAAACCGTTTAAAAGATTAGAAATGGAAGGAAAATTAATATTTTTTTTCATTGACACTATTAAACTTATACACACGCAAATAAAAAAACACTTGGCAGCTTTAACTAAATGCATAAATTTAAACAAGAATGTAATACGTACAGAATGCGCTTCAATATCTTTCAACTTTAAAACTCCTTCTTCGGACAGCCGAAATATGCGAAGAAACCTATGCGTATCACCAATAACAACAAGGTTTCCTCCAGGACTGCAACACGAGCTTACCAGGCGAGAACCAGGTGAGGCCCTTTCATTAAAACTAATGTGTTCGTAATTGCTGAAAAGGGCACGACCGATCAAAACTTCGTCCTGGTTACAAATGCGAAGATTTGAAGCATAACACAGCCAAAATATAGATTTCGGTATTCTAGTTATTAAAGAGTTCAATGTATTCCCAATTTTTCTTTTAAGGAACGATCACGGGCAAAAATAAAAACAGCTAACAGAAAATAAAAATGATAAATTAGTTAATAAAACTAGTGTAGATTAGTACCTGAAGGTTTCGTCATCAGAGGCGTATTTGTAAAAATTTGCGACACAGTCACCTCCTGTAGATAAAAGGTATCGCGTCTGTCCACACACATACGGCAAAAAAGTAATTAAAGTTACGGCTGCAGCATGGTGACGGAACAGTGCCAAAGACGCAGCAGAACGTAAGCTCCATACTCTGAATAAGTGTCACATTTGACAAAAAAATAGTAGGAGGAAAAAGCTAACAATTACTGCCAATCATCAATTTCTCCATCAAATAGTGCCAATAAGGGGAATCTATTAATATAAAATTTCACTTTTTAATCAACAGGTAAAAGTACGACTCTGGACAGTTTGATAATTAATCTAAATAGCAGAGAAAGTTTATAGAAATTTTCTGATAACTTAATAACTTTTAAATAAGTTGCTCTCTATAAAAACCTTAATACCAGTACTACGCCTCACATAATAGCACCGTATTATTGGCACAAGTGCTAGACTAACAAAATTATGCAGAACTACCTCATAGTTTTATCCAGAGAACCACTAGCCAGAAGTGAATTGTCGTCCGCTACTGAGATATCAGTAATTTGGGCTCCGTGACCGCGAAGCGTAAAACGTAACAAACCGCTAGTTGCCGACCAAACTTTTACTAAACAATCGTCTGCACCCTAAAAATGCTCCTTTACAGAAATAACTTGAGAACAAACCTATAAAGAAAGAGATCCGAAAAATGATATGAGATCCTAGGTCTCAACTTGAGCCAGTTATAACATAAAACAACCGTAAAAATGAAGCGACCCGTACGGTCAAAGGCAACACAGAATATGGAAGACAAATGGCCCGAAATACGGCAATGTAAACCCAATGACTGAACCGTTTCCTTCAAAAAGAGATACAAGTAAGATCATGTCAAGCTAAAGACGATAACGAAACACTACCAAAAAAGAGAAACGTACTTTTGGCAACATTTTGTAACGAGGGAATTTCCGGCCAAGCTGCCTTGACTGAAATATAAGCGTCGAATTACAATCAACACGCCTTTTGTTCGCCACGGTATCAGCCAATAAAAGTGCCCTTTTTTTCTTCTGCTCTGAAGTTCACAGCACACACTCGAAAATAATAAACTAAACTGCAAAACACAGCAATATGTAATAAAAAGAACTAAACCTTCATTACGACACAGTGACTGTTTTTTGCTTGCAAATAAACGAAGAGGTAGATGAGAGATCACGGGAGGAAAACTAGCACACACCAAAGAATTTAATCTCTCTATTAGTCCAACCAACGAGGTCTGACCAATACGAATGCTACCTTCCTGTAAAAAAATAGATTTTAATCAGTAACAGCGAACCAAGATGTGAGTCTCCCTTTTTTCTATAAATAACATCTGGGAATATAGACCTCCAAAGATATAATGAAAATTGACATTTTGTAGAAACCAATAAATCTTTGCGGAATCACGCTAAGGTCTTGTATTAGTCATAATAATGATAATAATGATAGTAATAATAATAGTAGTGACAATGACAATTTTAAAACCAGTAACTAAGCCTACTGCAAAAATTCATGCCCTAGATTCTATTCTCCCCACCTTTCATTCCTGCCATTCTGACATCACACTCCTTTTGCATTCTTTAAGCTAATATGGCATCTGTGAGAACCATAAGTGCATGCACACCGCATTGTTAATCCCGTTAATAATAATAATAACGTTAATAATAACCACAACAACAAAATTTTAACTTTAACAGCCGACACTAAACTAGAAAAGCTTTCTGACGTGTCAAAAAACTGTCCTTCAGCTAACGATATATGTAACTACGAATTACTTTTAAAATATCTGAATCTACCAAAATGTTGAATAACTGCATAGTTGGCAAAGATTAAAAGAAACTGCAGCATCAAAAAACTGCTAATCGCAATATTTTTCCTCGTCATATTCAAAAAGGTGGGACATATGCGACAAAATTTGCTTCTTACTTTTTTATACCAGTCACGAAGACCAGTTCCTGTGCCATTTATCCAACCCTACTTGCTTAAATAGGAAAGATTGAAATGTTATAAATTCAACAAGAAATAGGTAGTAATACTTCAAGCTCTGTATGACAAAAAAAGTGTACTCAAAACAGTATAACTCACGTATCTCTGGAGAGACTGTGGATGAGAGTTTCCCATAAAGTCATATCGTGAAGGTAGCAACTTGAAAAACAGGCAAGTTAAAGCTATCTGTTCATTTGTGTTTGACATTATTTTCATTTTCTACAGTTTAAACATTAAAGAATTTTATCCAGAAAGCTTGCGAAATCAGCAATACTAAATCAAAAAGTATTTACAGAAAAATTAGTTCTACCAAAAAGTTAAAATTTTTATTCATAAAGAACGTTATTTATACTTGCAAACGCTCGATCTCCTTCCTCAGTACTTCAGATGATTCCTTGCAAGGACTTTGTGAGAGATACCACTGAATTGCCAAGAGCAGCTCTGAAAAGAAGAAAAAGCAATGAAAGTAAAAATGTCTGAGGAGCAAAGCATCAAAGAAAAAGTTTTTTGTTACAACGCTGGTCTTGTCCTTAACCATTATCCCTTTAAACTCTAAATAACAGTTAAACTAAGCAAAAACTTCTCAGAACTATTTGTCACGGCTACAAATCTGGCAAGAGATTTTTAAACAGATGAGCCGACAAACGGAATTTCTGTCTCTCGGTTGTTATGCTAATAAAATAACTGACAGTGATAGAAAAGTTGGAAAGAACATTAAATAACAAAACCTTTAGCGATCTTCTCTCCACAATAAAAAATGCACACATGAAAGCAGTTAACTAACAAACTTAAATGAACCTGACTGTGTAAGCTTTGACTACTGAAATAAGAATAAATACTGGAAACCTTAACTGGATCAACTGGTTTAAGGACGTCAAAATATGTAAGTTTCATTCAAACAGTAAAATGTCCAGAAGCAAGACGTCCTACTTTGCTGACTGTATCGGTAAAGAATAACCATGAAAAAGCACTAAAAAGAGAGCTACCATTGTGGGATGTAGCGTCAAAATGCCGTGCTGAGTCCATCTACGAGACCAAGTGCAACTACACTTTTCGCTCTACCAGATCCGAAAAACAATATCCACCAATCAACGAAGCATAATAAAGAGATAACCATTAAGGCTATCCCCCTGACAGCTACTTTATACGCTCTGAAATATTACCGAAAAATGCAAGAAAAAAAAATTAAAAACGTCTGACGTAACATATAACCAGTTTTATATCCTCTAGAACCAAACATCGTAATAACAGATATCTATGTAGGATAAAAACAAAATCTACAAAGAAATAAATATTGAATAAAAATTTTGAGTCACCTGGCCAGAAGAATCAAAAAAGTTATAATCAGAGCAGAAAATTTATAAATTTATATAGATTTTTCCAGTAAACTGCAAAAAAACTTGAAATTTGCAGATTTATTTCTTCTCTTCAGCCCAACTTTTTTCAACAGTTCTCCGACACAGACGTTTTCTGGTAGCTACAGAAATTAGATTTCATTTGATCAAAAAAACACCTCATGATGTCATAAATCAGTTGATAAGCAACGAAGCTGTTGAAAACAGTAATACAGAACTCCCTTGAACAAATAAAAAAAGATCAAAGAAAGCAACAGACCTCCAAACTCACACTTATTTATATTTCAACAAATCTCATACAAACTGTTATAAATCTTACAACTTGCAATGTTTCAGCAACCACCATTCTCCTGAACTTGCTGATAAGTTATTCGTTAATCTACGACAACAGTATTACTTTATCCCGAAATGAAGATCACTTGTAAACGTGTTACACGCTGTCTACAATTCATTAGTTTCCTTTTGCCCCCTTGCTATCCCTCACAAAAAAGATATTTTTGCTACACCATAACACCTTTTCACTAGAAGAAAAAAAAATAAAGATTTAAAGAAACAAGTAAAATCATATTCAAGAATTTAGACATTTTCTACTCCTCAGCCCACTCTCACTTGACCAGTCCAACAACACTTTTAACAACGTTCAGTGACGAGCTACACCGGAAGAATCAAAGTGCAACTGTACAACATGGTGTCAGTAATCGCGAACACACAAAGATGCCACAGTACGAAAGTAACTTCATAAAATACACAACGAGAGAGAGGAAATACACCAGAAAAATTTGTTTTCATACAGCTCTCGAATTTCAATCGCCAGTTATAAATCTTTATCCAAGTCTTAAACCATATCCCAAAGCATTTCATCAGAATTCGCTGCCTTCTCGAATATAACTACTTAAAAACACAAGTAATCAAGCTGGATTTTTATGTTTAAATACAACCAGTTGCGCAAGAGTCAGACAGGAACTTACACAACACCCACTGAAACTACTCCAGTCCCCTGTTTCACCTGCTGAAAGCTCTCCAAGACGAACAAGGTTTGCCTTTCACCAAACATTAAACACGCAAAAAAAATCCCGCTTAAAAGCCTGACACGCTTCCCAACTTCCCTCAACAAAACCATCCCGGCAAACTTCCAACTAATTTTACGAACTATAAAAAACAGCCCAATATACCGTGACCAATGCCCCTATAAGAATCACAAAGATATACATATTATATATTTGAATGACCAGCTGGAAACTTACCACGGTTTGACACATCTGGGAATAGAAATCAGCGTTTATTAAACTTGTAAAAAAAAAAAGAAAAGTGAAGCAAAATGTAAAAACATAACATTACATATCAAAATGCAGTACAATTTCAATGCACCAAATCCCACACAAAATTTTGACCTTCGTTTTTGACACGTTACACGAGCGCTGCAAGATTTTCACAATAAATGATAATAACTTTTTCCTTTAAATCTCAAGTATATTGAAACACTTACATTGAAGACTTATCAACCATAAAGCAACGTAAAATTGTACAAAAAAAAAAAAAATAATAATAATAATATAATAATAATAAATAAATAAATGAGAAAGAAAAAATAAAAAACAAACCGCTAAACCAGAAATAAAAGCTTTTGCAAAATCTCCCAACATTTGTGAACCCGGATACTTCCCCTACATCGCTATCTTCAGTGTAATGAGAACTAAGTAAATTACCCTTAGCCACTTCAACACAACAAAAAAATCATAAATCAACCACAGACAACCATTAAGAAGAATTATTAGTCTGAAATCGCCAGATCAAAAGGCAACCAATTAAAAGTCGCTTAACAATCCTGTCACACATAAACAATAACTGAAAATAATTCCAAAATTACTGAAAATGCCACTCACACATAGGAAGCGAATGTCAAAAAAGTGAGCAAGATAACCGTATCCATGCCACAAAAAATGATCTTGGAAAAAACACCTAGATACATTTTCTGAAACCAAAAAAAATGGTCCCCTTCTTTTGGCTTCCACCTCAATTCCCTGCCTGCTCTTCAATACAACAAATTATACTGTTTTAAAGCAAATATGGAAGTGGACAAATAAAACTGGATTTTAACAGAAAATGTGGGCAAATAAAACTGGATTTTAACAGAAAGTGCCACCCTCAAGAAGTATCAGCAAAGCACTTGTTTCAAAGCTTATTTGTGAAAACAACAACTCTGTAGTCTAACTCATGAATAAAATGAGCTTTACAATCAAGATACTCTGAAAAACAGACGGAAATCTAATATGATGCACCCTCTGGAGGTTGCGGGAGCTTCATGTTTTCTTTAGCAGTCATCATATTTTTCCTTATATCCTCCAAAATTGTCTTTATATAAAATGTACTGTTCCACTGGCGAAGAGAAGTAACGAATCGTTTATCCACCTAAATAATTCACGTTAATGAGATGCAAAATGTATTGTTGAAAAACCAGGAAACAGACGCAACAATTTTTGAAAAGTAACTATGAACTAACAAAGAAAAGTAGCTTTTGAATGCAGAAAAAAAGAATAAAGGAACATTTTCCTCAACAAGCATGTATTTAATAAGTTATAAAGGAGCAGAGTCTTTTAGTAACTCAAAATGACCAATCCAAAAATTAAACTGCCGATAATAATCTAAAAAATATATATATTTCAAATGAGTATGACAAAGGAATAATAACGCAAATGAAGATGGAAACAACCGTTCCGGTGTGCTGGTTAACACCATTAAGATTAATCTTTGTAGTGAAACGAACAACTGGAGCTTCTCGCGGATAATTTGGGCCACATTCAAGACGAAGATTATAAATTCGTGATTCGAAAGGCGTCTGAAAGCAATACACCTTCCTTCGTAACACCTTTTTCCTCTCGGGAAGTTTTACTTCTTAAACTAAACAAGAGGAGACTTCTCCTAATAGAAAATACCGTAACGCATTTGACATCGAAAACAGTCGAGCAATTTTCAACTTCCTAAGAGCACGAATAGCCCCAAAAAATTTTGCCGATGTGGTCTTTTTCTTTCTTTAGAACCAACCAGCATATATGCTGTTAAAGCTACTAGAATAAAAAACGAAATCGAAATTATGTACCTAGGGTATAAGATTTTCTGAAACGCATCAATTTCCTGTGAATCATGGAATAAACCAAGAAATATTCTGTAGCCAGATGCTTATAACATGTCGTTACCGTTAAAAGACTACTGAATATCAAATAGTGAAAAACAATAAGTTTAGCTGAACTAGATGATGCTTCCTTAAAGCCCTAACAGTATCAGTTTACGTATAAAAAGTTGATGAATAAGCGAAATGTGCTATACATGTTAATACAATAATAACTCCAGAAAATTTCCCCTTAATCCTGATCTTTATAGCTCTCAATATTATTCACTTCCGAATATATAATTTATTCCTCATGTGTAGCGCTAGTGTTTAATAAACTTCTGAAAAGTGTAAAATACTAAACTTTAGGTGTTTTTCAAAATCTTTAACCTAACTACCTTAATTGCCAACAGTATCTCGTTGAGAACTCCCTGCACACCTAAGCCCCTCACACGTCTACACTCAGCAAAAAACGATATACGGCTAGCAAATGAGACAGTACCTACTCCTTATATGCATCTTTTGAAGAACCTAAACACCCAACTTTTGATTAATACATAACCTAATTTTAATCAATTCCTCAGGAAATCTTTTGCTTTACCTCAAAATTCATCCGGTTTACTATTTAAAAAAATCCAAAAACACTTGCTTGTTATTTAATTCACTTTATAGTAGTCTAGAATTTATTCCTCTCCTAGAAATAAAATGATATAAAATTAATTATTAAGTGTTTATCCAACGACAAGGCCAAGAGAATAATAGTAAAGTATTTTATAAATTAAGCTTAAGAAATTTAGAGATAGTTCTGAAATTTTTTTTAACCAAGACAAGCAAATATGAACAGGAATTAAGTACTTACCCTAGGTGGGCCAATAATCATTCCTGTCCAATGAGTAAGACTCATGTCTTCATCATTTTCAAGTCCCCAAGATATGTTCCCATCACCTTTCCCTTTTTGGCCGTCTTCAAGCTCTTCCAAAAGACGAAAATTTCTGGGCACTTCAACTAAAACGAGAGAGATCAAAAGAGGGTCTAAACCCTATGTGGGGAGCTACAGAAAAAGAAATAAGTAGTGTTAAGATAATGATTATGTTTCAGATGTCACCAAAAAAACTCGCAACGAGTTCGGATTAGGAAATGACCAGCGAAGTTATGAATCCTAAATAAAAGTTTAAGAAATAAACAACAACCATACCCGACATCATAAGCTAAAGTTATGATATGCACTCGAGATGTTGCAGTTCACCTAAAAAATAAAACTAGTGGTTACTGTCTAAGTGATCTCAGCGACTTAAAAATTTGACACATTCTGTTCGAAATGCCATTTTAGGGAAATCGTTGTTTCCAAAAATATGTTACTATACGATTTAAGAGCATACCGTAAAGTTTATAGACTGAGAACATCAGAAAAAAACGTCAAAGTTCAGAAATTACTCATCACAACAATTTCGTAAGACTAGTTTTTAATGTTAACGACTTTTTGTTTCCGTCACTTTTTTTTTCTTTTGATAATAATCGAGAAGAGGCTCACTAGCAAGTAATCCAAAAATTTTGCCTCAAAACGGCAACAAAATGAAAACCATGTTGAAAAAGCTGCACACAACTAGTGTGCTAGCGCAAGCGGACATTAGAGAACATTCTAAAACTTTTTTGCTTAACATCTAGTCTTCCAGTAATCGTTCCAAGAGTTTCAGCTCACTGGAACAGCCCAAAACCAACTTCGTAGGTCTACAAACTAAGATGCCATATCAATCAGCGAGCAACAATTGCAGGAAGGCAGTGGGAAAAGGAAAGTTGAACAAGACAAGGTTTATGGATTAGAACATTCCAAGGTAATCTTCCTCCTCAACAGATGCGCCATTCAAATTTGTAACTAGTCTGAATACCGTTAAAATTTTTAGACATTTTTCACGTCGTTTTCTTATCACTGACCCATTGAATACAAGTGATTGTACGATCTGATTCAAATCTATACTTTCTTTTGATTCTCATAGCGAACAGGAAATTTGAGTTTGAAAAACAGCCAACATGCCTCTGAGTTCCTTTGCTGCCACCTGAATTCGTTTTTTTTTCGATGTCTAGATCAATCAGAGTATTCTTTTTTTTAATTTGGGAAGGAATTTAATTATTCTTTGGATCAGGCTATGTTTGCTCCCGCTTCTTATACCTATATCGCATCCATATTTCTATGCTAGTGATCACAGTTTCTTTGTTTGTTGAAGTACTGATTCGGATTCTTTCTCGGGCAGTTTCACTCAAGCGCAGTTCCAAAACCTCTCAGAATTCTGGATATTCCTTGTCTCAAAATCACCCACTATTAGCTAAAATTCGTGTAATATATATTTTTTAGTTTTAAAGTTAGTCACAGTTTTATTAGTTTTTGAGAAACGCTAATTTGTCTTTATACATCAACTAAATTTTTAACACTCCAATTAATGCTTTGAAACAGCTAAAATTCCATATTTGCGAGTCCAATAACTATAAGTATGGGAATACAGCTGTACGGTCGCAAAAGTTTAAGAGGAACAAGAAATTCAGCGATTTGGTAGCCCTGACATTTACAGAACAATTTATACGGAGAAAGCGGCTTTTCGCAAAAAACTTTTGCAAATTTTCGCTCCCCAATTTCAAATTCCAAAAGTGCATGTCGCATAGACCCTAAAAACTACTTGGGAATTCTCAGCTGCATAGTATCAGAACCTCCACGCGTCTGAAAAGGACCGGTAAAAACTAGCATAAAGATATACGTGCACACGATTATCAGACATGGGAATAAGCATAATTCATCCCAAATTTTCATAAAGCAAAGAAATTAAACCTTCCCAAATGAAATTGCCTAAGTAGTTAAAAGGCAACCCAAAAAATTAAGCCAATTTTTCTCCGAGCGTGGTAGAAAATTTTTTCGCTGAGAAAGGTATATCATCAATATTCCGAAAGGTATTAGATAATCTTAGTTTGTACGTCATCAAACTTTCTAAACAGCCGGCCAAATTCTTGTAGTAGCAGAGTAATCCTGAACTTTGCTGGCCCCTTGCCAAACGAAAATTTACTGTTCGCCACGAGAGCCAGAAGTGAAGTTAAAAATGTAACTAAGTTTATTCCTTATCATTTATATTTCTATAGCGACGTATTAATATTTCGCCCTGTTGCTTCCTTCACCTAACCGTCGATTATTTTAGATTAAGGGAGTTAGAAAAGAAATAAGTTGATTTTTTCCATTCGATAATTTGGATTAGTCCTTGCGATCATTATGAATCCTACTTAATCATCGTACCCTAATTTTTTTGCTAGAAAATTAAAATGAAAAAAAAGTTTCGAATGAAACAGAGTTTTGCAACACATATACCTGTAAATGTGTTGAGAAAGATACCACTATACCCTTATTTAAACAAACACAATGACTCTATATTACAAAAGCCTGTGAACCGAGTAAAATGAGCAAAATGAGGAATCATGCTATTTGGTTTCAAAAGCAGTGCACATATCCGCATTATATATAAGAATAGTTGTTGAAATCAGTTAAAAGTCCTACATAGTTTTCTCAAGAGGCTCACAGTTGCCGTTTAGCGATATGTCAAATATAAAAATAGTAAATATAAAATAGAACATTATAGTAGTAAATGAACGTTAACGTGCGGAGTGGAAGTTTTTAAGCTGGTAATGAAGTTTTGGGACTATACATTTAAGTGCCGCCTTTTTTTT